ATGTGTTGTGAGGAGTTGCAGCGCGTTTCTTCATTTGCATGTGTTGTGAGGATTTGCAGCGCGTTTCTTCGTTTGCATGTGTTGTGAGGATTTGCAGCGCGTGTGTTGTCAAACTGATGAAGATGTTTTCTTACTTTGCTGGTCAATTTGCAATTTGCATGTGTTTTCTTAAGTTGCAGCGCGTTGAGCTCTCTCGGCCACCGTAAGAAACAAAGACTCCGACTATCGAAATAAAGTGTAAAGGGAATGATTTCTTAAGGATCATGTGACACTGAAGACTGAAGTAATGGCTGCTGAAAATATATTATATAAATATATTCAAAAACAGTTATTTTAACGGGTGTGTGACATCAAAGTACAGAGCTATAGAGAGCAGACGGCTCCTCATGCTTTCGAATCGCTCTCGTGTCATACACTGGTTGTTCTTCACAGCCCTGCTTCAAGTCGAACACACCTAATAATTACAGTGCAGTGGTTTGCCCGATCAAACGTGAGTTACTGCCGTTCGTTACTACAGCCTAGAGGTTGCTAGCTAGCTATGCCTTCGTCACATAAATGCATAATACCTGTGTGGCCTTCAGGTGCCTTACCGTGCTCAGAAATGGACAAATGCCTGATTAAACAATTAATAACATGCATATCCTAATTAAAGGACAAAGGCAGGTGCTGGTGTACAAAATACATAACTTTATTCCTTATTACACTTGCATATAATGCTAAGACATTTCACAACATGACAGGTAAAAAAAAGGGTATAATGTGGTGTACACAGGCAAGGCAGGTCATAAACCCTTTAAATACAAAACCCACTACACACAATAAGTTACTCCAATTCACAAGCAGAGAATCACACCACAAATTAAGCAATCACCTTCACGTGATACACTGCAATCAGCACACTTCTGTGATCAACTTTAAAGGGTATTATTGCATATTGCTCAATGCCATTACACTGAATTGTACCGTTGTTACCATCAATACCCAAACAAACAAAATAAAAGAATACAATTCCAAAGAAATACAACACAACACAATGCAATACAATCGAAAACAAACTACGAAAAGAACACAAGAAAAGTCTCTCCCCCTTCACGTTTCTCAACGCGCTCACTGAGCGCTGCGTCTAATTAACACACAACAAACACTAAATCATTAATTTAATATGGAGGTAAAGAAAATAGTGGCTGACAAACTCTCCTGAACCATAGATGCAGTCTACCAAATGTATCCTTATAAAACGTGATCTCGCGCCGCTTTACTGAAACAATTCAAATTGAATCACACCGCAATCGATGAATTGATTTAAATATGCTGTAATGACTAAAATAATAGCGAAACCAAATGACGTTCGGTTCTAATAATGTTTGGTCTTGGCATTCTTCCTGTAACGGAGATGAAACATACATAGTACTAAAATACTCTGACTTTACTCATGACGCTGCAACAATGCTACGGAATATATAGCATGAACAAGTCAGCGTGACGAGTATACGATTACAGAATGAATGAGTCGGTTCTTTTTAGCGAATCACAAACAAACAGTGCAGCCTGTAGTGCAGCCTGTAGTTTGATTCCCTATACTAATGACTCCAATGAGTCAGTTCTTCTTAGTGAATCAGACACTGCAATCTGTTAATTGCTTTGCATCCCTAGATGCACTGCATTGTTTTAATGTGATAAGGCCTACAGTAGCTAATTCCTCTTTATTTGGTGCAGGCGTTTTCTGCTTTTTTTCTACACTCATTCGTTCCTCCAGAAAGCTGCAGGCATCACCTTCACGTCTCCAGTAGATTTAGAGGATGCCATCCGTGTTGTCTGCAACATGAGCTTTCAGGAGGTAAATTGAATTTTGAGCCCTGCAATTTTAAGTTGACTTGTCAGTAATTGACTAGAAAAAATTTAAGAACATTCTACAACAACCAATTAAGAGAACTTGCATTGTTCCTCTATGAAAATATATTTAATAGGCCTATGTTCACTTTGCATTGTTTGATTCAATCTTTAACAACTGATGCAATATTTAAGCTGTTTTAGCTGTTTGTCAAGTGTTTCACCAGACTTGTCAGAGCGAATAATTCCTAAGCCTAGTTTTTAATTAAACTTAAATGTGATGAAATTTTAAATATTCCCCCAGGCAATATCTCTTTCTAACTCCCTCTCTCTCTCTGAGATGCAGAATAAGTTTCCTGATGAGGGGAACCATTTGAGGGATTACTGTGCAGATTCCATCCTTCTGCAGGTGCTCCTGATCAATGGATATGGCTTCAATGATCTCTCCTTCCCACACATCTCCTTTCGGGAGAAAGTAAGCCCTCAGGAAGACAGCTCTATATGCAGTTTTAAGTTATAGTTATCATATCCTGTCAAGCCAATGTCAACTTGTTACTTTGGTTTGCAGGCTGAAGACACTTCTGTCGGCTGGTCCCTTGGCTACATGCTAAGTTTAAGCAACTTGCTGGCAGCTGAAAATGTGCTTGTGAGAAAAACACTGCACCCAGATGCCTGGCGTGCTGCTGTCTTCCTCTTCTCAGTCCTTCTTATTGCGTCTATATTTTTTCTGCTGCGAACCTACCAAAAGAATGCCACTAAATTATGTTGTTGATCATTATGCACTAAAGAGTTTTTCTGTCCTTAAGGGAAAAGCTGTAAGTATATGCAGTATATGAAAAAGTATCAACTTTTGTCAGTAAAAGTAAAAACGTCAGATTGTGTCGATGTAATTCGCTGTAAAATTGATGTGGAATTCATGAAGATGTCTGTTAAGTATTAAATTGACATGAATTAATATGTAAACAGAAAAATAGAACCAGCACTTCCAACACTTAACATTTCAGAAATCCTATCTGGTCTTTAAACAGCCTTGCTTCCACTTCTTAATGACTCGGGTGAATGTGGAAATTTAGAACAAGGAAATATTTCTTTTTTTAGCCACCCACTGTTGCATAAACCTCTTAGTTTCTGATCCTCAATCAGCTGAACAGAAGAGTCTATCGGTTGTTGTGGGTGGGCCCACAGTTCATGACATCTTTGTACCACACACACGGTACTTTTTTTTATTTTTTTATGACTTTTTATTTCATATTCTGTTTTCTTTTATTTCGTCCAAGAGTCAGAATTGTATTAAACTCTAGAATTGTTATAATAAAGACAAGTGTATTATTGCAACGGTATGTTGTCCTTTTTTTCATTTATTTATTTTACAAACAAATCATTTAAATCACAGATGTTCTCTAGAATCTTTTAATACTGCCGTTCAATGATAAGGGCATAGTATTCACATGTACCAGCTAGGAACATTTCTTAGGCGGAACCTATTACGAAGTATCAGAAACAAGAGTGTTGACGAGGTTGCACAGTTAGGAAGTGTGCGAATTCAGATAACAACGGACAATGCAAATCTAGCCCACATCTGTTGTATTTCTGTTGTCATTGCATTGTATTTTTATTTCGTTTTGATGCAGTTAAAATAGTGACAGCCACTCAAAATGTTCGCAGGGTTACCGGAGTTGGGAATATCCAATGGAGAAGATCTGAAAGAAACTCTCACTAACTGTACAGAACCCCTGAAAGCCATCGACCAGTTTCAGGTTAGAGCTTAATACACTTGGATATGTACCTCTTTCTCTAAAACAGTCACAGTCTTTAAATGTCTTGCATTAGGCATAAAGCATTTCGCTCGCATGCAGCAGTCATCTTCATTGATTATAATGGGAGGGATCTAGTTTCTGGCGTCGCTTGCAGTGTGACTTGTCATATGACAGCATATGACAAGATGATTAAACAGATATCTATTTGAGCATAATAATTAATATGTTACTAGTACTTATTTGAATTACTAGTAAGTAATCCAATATGCCCTCTTCTAGTATCTAATTGTAGCTCATTACTAATAACTAAGGAATAAGTAGTGCCTAATGAATACCCTTGTGAAAAAGTAGAGTGCAATTGTAATAAATTTGCAGTTCAAATCTTAAACGTATATTAAAAAAAAAAAAAACAGTTCTTGCAGATAATATAGTATTAATGAAATTTTAAAAAGCCTTTAAGTGTCCGTACAGTCCACGTTACTGACTCTTAACACACTTAAGTACACTTTAAAAAAAGTGTTTTGTAATATTGTCAAATTAAAAGTTTGTTTAAAGTACGTTTTAATTTTTTAAAATCTTTTCTACACTTAGTTTGATGTGTTGTCTAACATACTAATGCACATGTCATTTGCTTGATTATATTTTAACTGTAGTGTGTTATTTGGTATTACATTTAAAGTGAATATATTTAAAATGTGTTAAATTGCAACTTCATCATTACAAATATATTATAGTTTATATGTAGTTTCCTCAGAAATGAAAGTATATTTTAGTTTGCCATAAATGTCAGTACATTCAACAGTGCACTTAAACTATATTTCACAGACACTAACAGTAATTAGGAAATTACATATAAAAAGTGCTACTTCATCTGGTTAAAATATATATTTTTTAACTTATTGCAGTTGCATTGAAATTAAGTGTCTGAAAACATATATTTAAGTATATTCTTTAAAAGCATATTATTTCCATAAATAGTACCTTTCTAAAAAGTATGTTCATGTTGTGTTGTGTCTTGCTGTGTTTTTAATACAACTGTATTGTCATTCACAGATGGAAAATGGCATATTGTTGCCAACCCTACAGTCTGCATTGCCTTTCCTGGACCTTCACGGGACTCCACGGCTGGAGTTTCACCAGTCAGTCTTTGATGAACTTCGAGAAAAGCTGATGGAGCGTGTTGCCACCATTGCAGAGGGCAAGGATGAGGACAGGTGAATGAAAAGTTTGATTTCCACAATTTTTTTTTATACAGCAGATCATAGTCATAATCAGCGGATAAAAATCATACTAATGCATCCCCTAAATTCACACAGGTACGTAAAACTGGAAGAACTTCTTGAGAAAAGCTTCCCATTGGTGAAGATGCCATCCATACAGCCCATTGTCATGCAAGTGCTAAAACATCTGCCAAAGGTTTGAATGTGTTCTGTGCAATGACTTATTACTAGTGGTTGGGTGTCAGATATATTTCAAGAAAGCACAGTATACAGACTCATTTTAAACCTTATTTTGCAGATTTCAGCCTTAGGTGTGCAATCTATTTTTGTTCATTTATAATTTATTATTATAGTTATCATAACAGTGCTTTTAGTATAACAGTGACAATCTGTTTGCACCCTCATGCAGGTACCTGAGAAGAAGCTGAAGCAGGTGATGGCTGATAAAGAGCTGTACAAAGTCTGCGCAGTGGAGGTGAAACGGCAGATTTGGCAAGACAATCAGGCTCTTTTCGGGGACGAGGTGTCTCCTCTATTGAAACAGTATATTGTGGAGAAGGAGGCGGCTCTTTTCAGCAGTGACCTCTCCATCCTTCACAACTTTTTCAGTCCTTCACCCAAAACACGGCGACAGGGTGAGGTAAGTGGCAGGTGTTTTTTCTTACACTATTGGAATTAATAAAGTCATTTTTTAATACATTGAAATTTCAGTTGTAACTGTAATTTGCTCAGTTAGATACAGAGTCTTTATTATAGTATGTTTATACTAAAGCAGAATGGGCCAGTCTAATTTGGACTATTTAGATCAATAATCTTATCATTAATTTGAAAACTGTGTCAGTATTAATGTAATGTTTCTTTAAGGAAATTCTAAAACATTAAAACCATTATTAAAACATTCCAAAAAACTTATCATTTTCTAACAATACTATGCATACCTAAAAAGATTTTAAGATTAATTTTGAATGTGAATAGCATAAGTAAATGTTCTTGTAATGTTGTATCAATGTGATTGTGTTAACGTTAATCTTATGTTCTTATAATTCTAACGTACTAATGTCAGTTTTTATGTGATTTTTGTAATTTAGCATGATGGTAATTTAGTGTTAATGTAATGTTGTGTCAATGGTATTGTAAAGGTTGTTTAATGTTATTCTTATTTATTTATTCTTTATTCTTTTTTTTTTTTTGACAAACTTGGTTTTTGGTGATTATGTTTGGTGATTATATGTGAACTCTGTCCACACTGTGATTTTGTTTTTTTTGTCAGGTGGTGTTGAAGCTGACTCAGATGATTGGGAAGAATGTGAAGCTCTATGATATGGTACTACAGTTCCTGCGGACACTATTCCTGCGCACACGGAACGTTCACTACTGCACCCTGCGAGCTGAGCTGCTCATGTCCCTCCATGACCTCGACATCAGCGAGATCTGTTCAGTTGACCCCTGTCACAAGGTGTCTGTTTTCAACTGCAACTTCATGATTAAGCACCATTTGTAGAGGCCTTCTATTTATCATGTTTGTATAAAATGGTCTAAGTAACTGTTACAAAAAGGTACAGGAACTGAACTCTTTCTGAAAGTCAGACCTCCAAGCAGTGTTTTGGTTGTTTATAAAAGAAAACAATTAAAAACGGTTTGGAACTATTGCAGTGTGTGATCATGTACCATAAAGTTGACCACTTTCAATTCAAACACACCCTACAATGCAAAATACTTATCTCTGCTCTTATCCTTTGGTAGTTTTCTTGGTGTTTGGATGCCTGCATCAGGGAAAAGTTTGTGGATGCTAAACGGGCCCGAGAGTTACAAGGTTTCCTGGATGGGGTGAAGAAAGGGCAGGAACAAGTGTTAGGGTACAAGATTCACCTATCCATACAGACACATGGTAACATAGCTTACCCTTAAAAAATTAAAAATGTTACACACTCTGTCTCTGTTTCTCACAGAGACCTGTCTATGATACTCTGTGACCCATTTGCCTGTAACACACTAGTGTTGAGTACCGTGAGGAACCTTCAGGAGCTATTGAGCCAGGATGCCCTGCCCAGAGTAAGACGTTTTTTTTAAAGAGTTTTTTTTGTGTTGTTATTGCCAACAAAAACTTATTAAAAGTAGTTTTTGGATGTAATGATGCATCCCGGGCCAGTTGAAAATCGATAAAAAAAATGTGCGACGATTCAAATCGGTTGAGATGTTAAATGAATCTCAATACAGTTGGGGTGGTTGTTTATATGAATGTATCTCTGAGGGGAACTGACTGTCTTTAGAAAAGTTTAGATGACATTTTCTTTTAATTTTGCATCTGTATAATGCATATTAAAGTACTGTTTATAAGAGCAGCGCTGCTTTGTTTACAGCGGTAATGAAGGAAACGCTATATTTCTGCTGTTCCATAAGCACCACCTTCTGGCAGAGAGTGAATTTGCATTCTCATTCAGCCCATCTGCTGTTTCTGTTCAGATGTTTTATGTAGTACAGTTTCACAAAGCTAAAATTTGTTTTGCTTCAGGTTTGGAAATAATACAATATCATTTAAATCCAAAACTGCTCATGCTGCGTGCATGCAGCATCTTTGTTTTTAACGTGATTAAAATGCAGTGGTTGCTTCTAATTTTAAATGGAAAGAGCACAGAAAACCCTTACTTTGTTTTTATTAAAATATTTATTTTATTTGCATTAATTTATTTGATTTTGGATTAGTGTTAAAATATATAGTTTTGTTATTCTAAATATTTCAATTTCACAAAGAAATGTGAAGCATTTTGTTCAAGCAATAATAAAAGGGTACCTTTTCATTTATAACTTAAAACTAATTTTGTTAAAATCGTCAGAAAATCATATCGTGGAATCAGTATCATAAATCGTATCGCATTGTGAGTTGAGTGAATTGTTACATCTCTATTGGTTATTAAAATAAAGCTGAAATTAAGTAGAATATAAATATTAGATGGAAAAACATAAACTTTGCAAGTTTAAATTGTAGAGTAAATTGTATAAATTCAATTAAGATAATATACAAAACTGAAACAAAAATTAATTCAATCGAAATAGAAATATTAAAAAGAATAATAAAGCACATCTTTTAAACTTAAAATATAAAATTAAAAGTTAATTTGAAATATTAACACATAGAAATAATACTAAAATAACATGCTAATATTTCATGCTATGAAATCACTCTGTGTTCATGTACAGGACAGCCCTGAGCTTCTCCTTC